ATTTTAAAATGACCCCGGTGAGAGAGTCACAACAATAACAAAAAATAAAACAGAACAGTTACAACAATATCATGTAATGAAAGCGACGTGAATATCACTCTTGATCTGTCTTACTGTGTGTCGGACTGTGGCCACGTGAGGTAACTGAATCCGTGGAAGGTGAAACCCCGGGTAAGGGGGAACTAGTGTGTGAGCAGAGCTAGCCTCTCTGAGGGAGCAGAAGAATGGGGCGGGGTGGGGAGCGCCCAAGCCCGTCTTTTCAGCCATCTCCTCACTGACAGGCTGGGGGAAGTACAGCTGACACGTGTGCCTGTGTCAGCAAACCCTGGCTGGAGACCCCTGCTCAATACGGGGTGTGTCTGGCCACAAGGTGAACCCCAGTCAGGGCCAAACAGAGGTGGGTGGGAGACCCAGGGTGTCACCAGCCAGGGACCACCAAGAGATGGTTCCTTGATTAAAATTCCCGTGCTTCCCCGTTTAAGGGGCCGTAGAACTAGGGCCAGAGGAGACAGACAAGGGCCCATCTGCTTTTTATTTTGCACAATTTTGAGCTATTTGTGTGTGCATTTAAAAAAAAAAAAAACTACTGCTCATTTTCCTAGAGTAATTGCTCCTCCCCTCATCCTATCCACTGTTCCCTGTGGGATGCATCGCCACCTCCTGAACTGAGACTTCCCTGACCCTCTCCTCCCCAGCAGATCCACCTGCCAATTCTTTAGCACCTACCCAAGGCCCGCACTTTACGTCTGAATCATCTTCATATTGCTTCATCTACTGTCTTGTCCAAGTAGACTTACTGGTCTACTAACACTATCCTGTCGCACCCAGCAGAGCCTACACAGGGCTCTGGAACATCCACTCCACAGTGCAGACCTCCCTGCCCTGCTCACTGCTACCCTCCCAGGGCCGAGTTCAGCAGGGCAGATGGAAATGCTCAGTATATATTCTTGAAAAAACAAATAGATGGACAGGTAATAGAATGTACAAGTCTCCATTGTCATTCCACTAGCCTGGTACAAGGAGCAAAAAGAAGTTACTATAGAGATCTGGTTAACTAGGGCTGGTCATGCCAATTTCTCTGAGAGTGATTCCTTGTCAGCCCTGGGAGGCCTTCATGCTTGCACAGGTGACCAAAGCTGCTATGGACAGCTCCCACCTCCTGACTGTCCTTGGAAGCAAACCTGCATGGATCTTGGCTACAGCCACACTCATGTGGACCGTCTGTGGTTGCTTTTGGGCAACAAGAGCAAATGGGGATCTCCCTGGTGCGCAACGGGTTAAAGCGCAATGCTATGAAGCGCAGCCCCTGCAGCACGAGTTCGATCCCTGGCCAGGGAGCTCACCCACAGGGCGCAGCAGACCTCTCCTGTCTCCCCACTGCTCCTGAGCCTCAGCAATGGACTTCAGTCCATCTGCCTATTCTGCTCCCCACTCTGTTTCTGGTGAATCTTCTGATCCCCCACACTTCTGGCCTATACCCCAATTCTGTACGCATAAATAAATCTTAAAAAAAAAAAAAAGCAGATGAGTCATGGCAACAAAGACCACGTGGGTTGAAATGTTCACAAGCTGACCTTCTAAGAAATAGTGTGCTGCACCCTGGACTTGAACAGAGATGTGTGTGAGGCTTTGAAACTGCGGAGTTCACACCGAGTCTTGCTAATATTTTATTCAGGCCTTATTACGCACTAGGCACTGTGCTAAGCGAGTCGCATGTCTATCTTGTCATTCAATTCTCCCTACAGTGCTGGGAGCAGACGCTCGTTACAATGCTGGGGCCAGGGTCCGCGTGGCCTGCGACAAGCCGAGTTTAAATCCAGACCTGGCTGCGCGCCTCTGAGACCTGCCTCTATGACCACGGTGCTGTGCAGCGGCCATGGGAACACTGTCCCGTCACACGCAGAGCCTACAGCACTGTTCACATGGGCCTGCCTCTTCGCCTGCCTCCTCATGTCCTCAGGCCACTGAGTGACCCCACTTCCATGGCGCCACCTCCTCGGGGAGGCTGAGGCTGCTCCATCTACCCTGAGTGGCACTTTTCTTTCTCTGAATTCTACCAATTGGTCAAGCCTCGGTTAAGCCCTCCTTCTCTGAGGGCATCTTCTCCTTGCCCTAGTTCTTTCTTTTACCCTCTGTCATCCCAAAATGCAAACTGCTGGAGGGCAGAAGCAGCCTTGCACAGCACAGAGCCCCTGCATGAGTAGGCGACACACTCACGCTCTTCAAAACCCAAGCAGAGCGAAACAAAACTCACAAGAATCACTGTCTTCCCCGCTCTGGAGATGGGGCCAGTAGACCCACATGCCAATTCAGAGCCAACGCTGTCTTTGGCTTGGACAAAGTGCTAACAAGTCAGCAACCACAAGCTTTATTACCTGTACCTGGGATGCTTCCCTGTGTGTGTTTTAAAGATTTATTTATTCAGACATACAGAACTGGGGTACAGGCCAAAGGTGCAGGGGCGGTGAGAGGATTTGCCAGAGACAGAGTGGGAAGCAGAACAAGCAGACTGACGAAGTACACTGCTGAGGGGAGCAGCGGGCTGGCCAGGAGAGGTCTGCCACACCAGGAGAGGTCTGGGTCACCTCCGGGGCGGGGTTCAAACTCATGCTGAAGTGGCTTTAGCTTCTTAGTGCTGTGCTTTAACCGGCTGTGCCACCAGGGAGGGCCCCATAACTTGTGTTTTTATGGTAATCATTTTCTTTTAAATTCTAGGTCACTGACCCCCAAGAATCCTGCCTCCAAAAAGAAGGGTTTCCTTGAATCCAGGTGGATGACAGCTTCTTCACCTCTCACCTCGCAGTGCCTGTTTATCAAAGAATCTAGGTGTGAAAGTAGCTGAACTTAATCTTGCTGCTTGGGGGCTGTGGTGACACTTGGGGGTGTAGTTTCTGGGAGAGGAACAAGGAGACTTCCAGTTATGTTGTTTCTTGAAGCACAGGATCTGTGCATCCGTTTTTGCCACGTGTGAACTCACGCAGTACACCTAGGATCTGTTCCCTTATTTGAAGGTATAGTCTATTTCAATAAAATGTTCTAAAATGCCCACAGTAGCACACAATGGATTGGGGGTTTTTGCAGAAAGACACATCTCAATTTCTTCATGCACCATCCTTAGAAAGGGTTGGTCAGAGCCTTTTACTTGCAGTAAAAAGGAAGAAAAAAAGGCAAAGCAACCTTGCAGGTGCTGTATAAACAAATTTGGGGTGAGGCTGGACAAATCTTGGCTCTCAATGCCTTCCGCTGTAATTGAGCTACACAATTCCTATTAGCCATAGATGTTCTGGGGCCCTCCCTGGTGGCACAATGGGTTAGGATGGAGCACTGCAAGCTGGCGGCAGCTGCCTCAGTGCGAGTTCGATCTCTGGCCCCGGAGGTCTGCCAGGGAGGCTGCAGACCTCTCCTGTCTCACCGGCTGTTCTCCTCAGTAGTGTGTTTAGCCAGTCTGCCTGTTCCTCTGCCCTGTCTCTGGTGATGCCTCTGTGCCCCTGTTCCTCTGCCCTGTATCCCAGTGCTGTATGAATAAATAAATAAATCTTAAAAAAAAAAAAAAAAAACCAACCAAATGCCCTTCATGTAAAAACCATGTAACAGCCAACTACCAAGGAAGTAGCTGACAAGTCCAAAGGGCTTTATAAAACCTGTGAGTACTGAGGCAATCAGCCTCTTCAGGCCTTGGCCAAGTGAGGTGTTGGCTCTGCCAGCAGAACCCGTCACTTATGCACTTGGGGGGGACTGAATGCTGTCCCCCCCAACCACATCCACAGCCCAACCCCACTAGGCTGGTATCTGGAGGCACCCTGGGGGGTGCTTGGGTCATGTGGATGGAGCCCTCATGAATAGGGTTAGTGCCCTAGTAAAGAGCCAGAGCTCCCACACATCTTCCCCACATGCAGACGCGGGGAGAAGTGCCAGCCTGAAGCGGAGGGCAGCTCTCATCAGAAGCTAAGTGTTGGTGGCCTGTCCTTGGGCTCGCAGGATCCACAACTGTGACAAATAACTTTATGCTGTTTGCAAGCCACTCCCTCTCCAGCAGTTTGTCCTGGCACCCCAAACAAACCAAGACAACTTATTAACACTGAGTCAAGCAGCAAGCTAAACAATCTGCATACAAACTTCCATTAAGTCTTCACGATCCAACTTTTATCCCTGCTTTAGGCACGCGAACACGGAGGCCTGGAGAAGTCAAGGAATCTCCCTGGAGGCTGTTAACTGTTAGGGTGGCGTTCAGACAGCCAAACTTCAGAGTCCATGTTCTTAACTGTGACGCTACTCAGACCTGTTTGTCTCTGTAGCTCAATAAACTGGTCTTGTCCAAAGGCACACAATTATAAGAATCTTGACAAGCACACCCAACTCCATAAGAAACGGCAGCCTGTTTACAGACGGGATGGCTGCTTCAGAGATTCACACGACGACAGCGCTCCGGGTCTAGCTGCGTGCCCTTTCCCCGCCGGCCTTCCCCATTCGCTGGAAACCAAAGAAATAACACTTGGCCTACCTGAAGCCATCATCAGCCCAGATTGCATAGGAAAGGTCAGCGATTCGCCTTTCTCTTCCATGACGAAATCTGTATTGCCTCTTACAAAGGATTTGCTCATCCTCCCTCCTTGAGTAAGCAACATATACTCCTTTGCATGAGCAAAGCTTAGAAAAACGAAATAAAATGAACTTGTTGGGTGTCTGTGATGTCACTTTCAGTTGTGCTTGAGAGGAACATTTCAGCGAGAGCATTTTGGAGCATTTTGGAGCTGTCCCTTTGTGCTTTAAGCCGCATCTGTTTTCTGGAAGGTTAAAACTGCTTGCTTTTGTTACTTTTGAGGCATTGAGGTTACAAACACTGTCCCTTAAAAGGTCCTTACCTTTTAATTCACTGACTTAATTTATTCTCTTAGCTTTGGTTCCCTGAAGTAATACAACGCATGATGAGTCCACCCCACCCACCCAGTTTCGGAAATATCAGGTGAACCAGGAATTCAGAGGAGGAAAAGGAACCCAACCTTGTTCCTCAGAGGACTGTCAGCGCCGCCAGCCGGCCGGGCGGGGGCTCCGTCTGACCGGCGACCCTTCCCCAGGTGACTGACCTCCTCACAGGGACGCGGTCCTTGCTACCTGGATGGGGACGCCGCTTTGTATGGCCCGGACCCCCGCAGCAGGGTGTCTGGGGTGCCACCAAGTCCCCAGGGTCCCCTCCAAAGCACAGTGCCTGGGTCGGGTTCTGCACCACATCTGTGCCATCAGCCTCTTCAAACAGTCGCTCTTGAGCAAGCTGATGCTGGGGGCGTTCCAGGGCCGGCGCCAATGTCACCAGCAGCGGGGGAACTGGAAACTGCCCCGACACGGGGCTGCGGCGCGGCGGCCCG